AAGAGCAATGGCTCTCACTTCCTATTGAACTGATAGACCGCATAATTGAAAGCATCACACATCGCTGTTTGTGCTGTATTGCTTCTAGAGGCAATCATATTCCATATTAAAGGTACTTTTTCTATTGCAAACCGATACTTCCAATTTGTTTATTTTATACATGTGCTAATTTCTATACTACTATTAATGTCTGATAATTTCTTTTTATGTTGTTTAATACCTTACTATGTGTTGTATATTGTGGGTAAGTTTCATAAAATTCCATGTGTAATTTCTTGAGTTATCGCGATTTTTGTGAATTTTCCTTAATTTATGATAACCAGTGTATATTCTAAAAATACTTTTCTCGTTCATCCGAAAGGAAAGAAATACTCCTGATTTTTCTGTTCTCATTTCGGAATCAAAAAAATGTGCCAATGGCTGGCTTGCTTCAACTAGAATTTGAAATTGATAAAATAAAAAAATAAAAATAATAACAACAATTCTGAAATCACAGAAGTTTAAAAGATAACTTGCTTTAGAAATGATGTTTTTTCTTTCATTTTTTTGAAAGAACATCATAATTTTTAAAGAACATGATAAAAAAAATTTATATTCTAATAAAATGACTGTGAGGGGATTTTGTTACAAATTCAGATTACCATGAAATTGGGGGGAGGGGATTCAAATTCCATTTTAAAAATAAGATTTTTCGGGGACCTCAATTCATGACTTTCCATGATTTTTTTTAAAAATAGTTTAAATCATGGCATTTCACGACAAGTCTTGTTTAATACAGAATTTCGTGACTTTCCATAATTTTTCACGACTTTCCAGGTGCCCAGGTACCCTAAATTATTGTCCAAGGTACACTTGGACAATAATTTTGAAGTCAACGGAAGCAATTTCTAAGGACGACCCATCTCCATCAACGACCATTTTACTATGGAATGTAGAGTGGTCGCTACAGAGATGTTTCACTGCATTAAAGATACTACAGAACAATTTTAAAAAAATAATAACTTACTTAACATCAAACAATTGTTCAATTGCATAACATTCAGACGACATACGAGGTAGTTTAGACTTTACAAGAATAAAGCTCAGTATTGGCATAAATTCATCAGCTCCACTAGAGAGAACATATCTTTTGTAATTGCATTTTAAATTATACATCTAACTAATGGATCTACCATCACAAAGTATTTGGACGGTAATGATCATTTTAAAATCCATTTTCATAAATAAACCCTGGAAGTCAAGGCTTCCTTAGTTATTATGTTCTTTAATATTTATATTTAACTTCTATAAAAAAAAAATTTTGTCAAATGAGTGTAAAGGTAATTAATTTTAAAATTTATGAGCTATATTGCCACAGTACTTCCTTTTAGTAAGTTTTTTCCATATGACATATAAGTTTTTTCCATATAAATAACATAATATCTACACTACAAAATTCTCATTGAATTATTTCTTAAACTGTTTCAATTCCTACAATTAGTTCACACTCTCCCTATATTTTCTTCAAAGTTTCAATCATTGAAAAAATACTTTTTATTCATACACTCGAGTTCAAACAATTTTTTTTTAAAACTTGTAGTGAGTGGATGACACTTGATGCTAATACCGTTTTTTTTTTTCAAATATTAATTCATTCATTAAATTTAATGAATTAATTTCAGTTTTATATGGGAGAAAAATTATATTTACTTAAAAAAAAGCAACTAAATTAAAATTTTTCTTTGTTGATCTAAGTAGGAATCGACTTTTAAAATTTTTTTTTTTTACTTGTTAAGAAATGCAAATAATAAAAAGACTTGACGTTTCAGTTGTCGATTGTGCCCTCCAGTGATGTGTTGCACAGTTACCTCAAGAGGTAAATATAGATAGTCCCCCCCCCCAAAAAAAATAAGGTGCGAATAGGCCAGTTACGTCAGTGGATTGACACATTTCATGCTGTGGATCTACAGTACATTATAATGGATAGAGAAAGGCAATGGATAAACTACGAGGGATAATTGTGACGACAAACATAAGATGGTGTTTTGCAAACAACTGAATAGTTTTCTCTTAGCTATTGGCAGGACCGTCTTAATAGCAAGCAGGGCTGTCATACTGTTTAAAATCGAACTTAAAAAAATTTCACATACGTAAAATATAGCATTTTTAACATATGCTAATATTTTTTAACAAACTTAAACACATTTTTATCATCCCAAAAACTTAATGCGCATAAAATAAAGCGTTTTTCAACTATGCATATTTCTTTTAAAAAAATTGAGATGCTAACTGGTTGCATCATCATAGTTGGCCAGACAGACCAATGTGGGCCAATGCCTTCCTCTGAAGATTTCTCCATAACGACTTCCGATTTATCTCCGATCTCCAATTCTTTTCATTAATTGCAAGAAAATCAGACTCCACAGAGTCAGACAAAATTCCCAGTATTTTCCAGGTTTTTCCTATTCTCCATGAGGAGTGGCAATCTTGAAATCTTTTAACAGTTGGAAAACAGCATGATAACTTCAACATCTACAGAAAGAAAGTTTCAATTTCTTTTATAGTTTCAACTCTTAAAAACAATCCCCCTTGTTGCAGTTTTCCCCTTTCTTATTCAATGAGGAAGTATTTTTACACAAACTGACACAAATATGAAATGAATAGTCATTTAAATAATCAAAAGAAGAAAAAAAATTTAAAAAGGAATGTGGAACTATTTAAGGTACAGTTTAACTTATACAATTATTCTTAAAAGCAATGAGGTTAGGCTAACTACTAGAGGATTTTAATTATTAAGGGAAAGTTTCTTCAATAACTATCCACAAAGGCAATCTTATTCTGTTACTGAACAAACCATGTTAATATTTACCAAGTCTTTCAATATAACATTAAAAGCAAAACATTTGTTATATAAATAAGCTGATCAGCGTAAAATGATAAAGAGAGTAGGGAAAAAAATGATTTTAGTAATAATTGCCTTTTTAAAGATAATGTATACATACATTCTTGTTTTTTGATTTGTTCTGCCATGAGAAGGTGAACCACAGATAATTTGAGATACTTGAACTGCAAAGAAAAAACTTTGGAATTAAACAGAAAAATGGTACACATTTAGTTTAAGAATAAAACAATCAAGTAAAAGAAATGATACAGCAGAATGTCCATAACAAAATCTCTCTCTAGAGGACTGATTTACTAATCGGAAAATTAAGTAACATTCAAAATCTGTCCCATTTAACAAAGTTGCGCCCCAAAAATGAATTTTTTTTTTAGATTTTTGTCATTTTTAGACATTTAGCTTTTAATTTTCAACATTTTTGAAGAAAGCAACAACTAATTTTAAAAAAGTCAGCTATAACCGTTTCTCTGAATATCCCGAGTTAACTCGGGTACGTATATATTGCAAATATTAATCATCCCGAGAAAATTTGGGCTTAGCAGAATTTGTCAGTACATTTTGCTTTATCACGTTTTTACTGGGTCGGAAGTAAAAAACATAATCTATTGTGATTGGAAGTTTGCCAAGTTTTATTTGAGAGTTTTGATGTTTAACTGTGGGACTGCATGTGTGTTTTCTGCGATTGTATATAGAATGGTTGCTGAATTTACATAGCAATAAGAGTAAAAAAAAATGGCGTATTCCTTCACTGACGTTTGAAAAGTATCACTTTGTGTTGTCCCTCGTTTTAAGAATTATCATACAAAGACTAATATTTAACTTCTTTCATTTGCCCCAAAATAACTCGGGATAGTTAACTGTTTTTAAATTAAAGGTTTCTTACACATAAAAAAGAATTCAAATTTCAACTTAAAACTTGTGTATTATGTTTTGTTTCAGTTCCTTGTATTTATTAATAAAATAAAAAAATATGTTGATTTTTTGCATTTTTTTTCTTCTTCAAAATAATTGGTAAGGAAAGTGTTAAATAAAAGTAAGTATCAATTGAATTAAAAAGTTGAAATTAGTTGAAACCCTAATAGCAAGAATAACTGAGTTAATCGCAAGATCAACTGAGTTAATCGCAAGATCAACTGAGTTAATCTTCATAAATTTGAAATTAGTTTGCAATCCCAATGCAAATAAATCTTAAATTAATGGATATTGTTTTCAAAGAATGTAATAATTGGGATAATTAATCTAATGTAAGCTTCGTAGTGGGTCAATGAAAAAAAAACACGTATTATGTATTAGTATTAGTGGCACACAACCTTCTTGAGTCAAGGGCCACTTGCACAGGTGTGGCAGCATGCTTACATGCTGATGGCTACTACTTTTATCTAAACATTAGTATTCTAAGCATTAAATTTTTTTATCAATCAAGTAACACATCACATAATACATAAATTAAATTCATTTAAAAATAAATTCTAACAATTAAAAAAAACTGCAACACTCATAGAATAAAAACTAAAAAAAAAAAAAAAAAAAAATAAAAAAAAAAAAAAAAAAAAANAAAAAAAAAAAAAAAAAAAAAAAAAAAAAAAAAAAAAAACATGAATAATTCATTGAGTAACCTAAATTCAAATTAAATATTTTAATTGAAGAAAATTTATAGCACTTAAGCAAACTAAAACTAAAATTTTTTACATCAACGAGTTTTTAGACAATAATTAAAAATTAGTTTAAAGTTTTAAATTAAGAATGAATTTATAAAAAAAATAAAAAAAAACACAAACCTTAGCAGCAATACAAATAATCAAAAGCATTTATTTAAAAAGGTTTTCATTCATTAAAAATGCTTTTTCAAAGCAAGAAACGGGAAAAAGTGTTTTAAGATCTTAAAATAATAAAAAAAATTAAGTCTCTTGATGTATGGACAGTTACAAAATAGTTCAGATTTAGTATTGTCCATAAATTATGTTTGAAAGTATATTCAAATTAATACAATATCACACTGGTTGGATTTCCAAAGAAGTAGCAGAAGTTTGTTATGTTGAAATACAGTTTGATGTATATCTACCCTACCAATTCCGTGATCTTTATGAAAATGATTAATTTTATTTAAGGAAAGATATTAAAAGAGATAATTTGAAACTATTAAAATAGATAAGCCACGAAATAATACATTATTGCAAAAAGGACTGATACAAAATTACACATGCCTTTCATAAAAAAAAATTTTAGGTCTACAATTTTCAACAAAAGCATATAGTTAATAATTACATGATCCACCATTTTAATTAACAGCTTGAAATAATCTATTTGGCAAAACTAATAGAAAGTTGTTTAACACTAAACATACCATACCCGGTCAAATGACCGTTTAAGAACTTTTGCATCAAAAATGCACTCATCATCTTATCGTTTTTGAATATTTGACTTCATGACTTTTTCTTACAATAATATTCAGTAAATATTTTATTACTATTATTTTTTTATATTTTGTTTCCTTTGCATAATACTTGTCGTATACCTATTTCTACCACAACCAGTCATTTGACCAGGAGAACAATTTATTGCTTTATAAGGTTATCGGATCAGAAATTACGATGTAATGCGTGTTCATCGTTAGTTATTTGATCAGTTGCACATTTCAGCAAAGACTATTGCGTAGTTAGTTCAATCAGAATAACTGTGACTTCAAATTTCAAGAAAGTAACCAAAATTTATTTAATATTAAATTAAAATTTGGCATTTTTGCGTCAGAAAAAGTGACAAATTTAAATGTTTGGGTATATTAGTAGTTTTTATTTTATTTTATTTTGATAGCTTTACTTCATTTCTAACTAACCGTTAGTTTTAACCTAGAAAAATGTCGAAACTATCAAGACAGCACAAGTTCTTAGAAGAAATAATATTAATTATGAGAATAATTATAAGAATTATAATTTTCATAAGAATTATATATTCTTAAAATTATTAGAAAAATTATAAGAATTATAAAAATAATAATAATTAGAAGAAATATGTTTGTCGAAAATGTACAATGGAAACACCCTGTGTATGTAAAAAATGCATTGAGCAATGAATTAAAAATTCTTATTCTTTGTGTTTGTAATACATAAGAATTGGCAATATACAATTTTGCTTAATTATAAAAAAAAATTTTATCATATTTCCTTCCTAACATCCATACTTCATACATTCAATCAACAAACATAAAGTTCGGTCATTTGACCGGCTATGGTAGAAATAGGTAAATACTAAGTGTTGGTATCAGAATTGGCAGGGTTTACGACAGAATGGTTTAATCCATGGTTTAAACCGTCTTGCTCAAAACTGTCTTAAACTGTTAATTCAAATTATTTCACAATTAAAAAAAATATTGCGAAAAATTAAAGGTTAATTTTCGGACAAGAAACATAACGAGGACAAGTTTTTGGTTTATTAAAAATGCTTATTATTATTTTTAATATTGCATTATTTTTCCTTATGCAGAAACATAATTTTTCAATATTGAAAGCACACTTATTCATTTTTAGAGGATAAGGTATTCACTTTTGTTGTTCAATGAATTGTAGTGCTTCAAAAGTTATAAATCTTTTCGCATTATATTATTTTCCTTTAATAAGTAAAACTAAATTGTATAAAAAATATCAAATATTTATTGACATATGTAGTTATTATGTGTGCATTGGTTACACCTATAGAATTTTCATCTTTTACAAAGTTCAAGGTTTTGGACACTTTAAGTCAGTTTCAGCCAGTTTAGGACAGTAAAACCCACGAGTCCAAAACCAGTTTAGGATGTCCAAAACCCTAACCCTGGTTGGTATGTTTAGTGCTAAGTATTCCAACTCTCTAAATATAATTCCAACTATCCAAAAAAAAAAAAATCAAAACTCGAAAAAGCTAGTTGCAATTTATTCTATTAACCAATGCAGATAGAAGAAGTTACATATGTGCTAGATAGGATTTATACATATTTTTCCATCACACTGTATATGCAGAAAAGTATATAAAGATAAAAAAAAAAAATGAGTACCACTTAGATAGCATAAAAAAAAACCATTTAACTAACCCAAAATTTTTAATTTCTCCACCAAAGACTCAGTTTCAGGTAAAGATTTTAAAATAGATATACATTGCTCACTAATTCCAAGAACAGTGTTACTTTGAGTAGTAATTCCAAACTCAGATGGTACAGAATTTTGAAACATTCTCATAGCTTCCGCAATTTTGTATTCAGCAATGATATTTTCAATTCTAAAAAAATGAATAAACAAATACCTTTTTAAAGAACAGTTTAAAAAAAAAAAAAGAATTTTGATAGGTTTCGTTATACCAAATACAGTGTGCAAAGCTAAATCTTTCCCCAATAAATAAGTACCTTTTAAGTACTTTTTAAGCACTATATACATTAAGAAAATGCAAAATAATTTTCAAAGACTTCACATGAGCCGCAATGGCTCAGGGGATAGAGCCCTTGCCTTCCAATGAGGCAAACCGGGTTCGAATCTCAGTCGATACGAATTCCGCATGCCGACCACAGTGCTGACGTGAAATATCCTCAGTGACAAATGGATCTTGGGTTAGAGTCCCCTTGCCGTCAGGCTAACCGTGGGAGATTCTCATGGTCCTCCTCTCCATGTAACGCTAATTCGTGTTAGCTACATCAAAAAGTTCTCCGCGAAGGCAAATTTCTCCCAATACTCAATCCAGGAGTTCCCTTGTCTTCTGGATTGGGTTCAAAATTACAAGGCTACGGAGTTGAACATTAGTAGTCGTAAACCCATAAAATTGGGTCGGCTGTTCCACGACGGTTATAAAATAAAATAAAAGACTTCACATAATCACGATAAAATAACTAGTTTCTAACAAAGAACTATTTTACTTGATTATATTAACCGTTATAAAATGATCGAGAAATTCTTCGGTTCAATATCGGAGGGTAGAAAATGAAGCCTGAAATTGAGAATATCTTGCAAAATGCAGCAGAGTTGCACATGAGAGAGCAAGAATCTCACCGAACCCAGCTCAGTAGACACACGTATGGACTCCCAAGTTTTTCATCAAACATGTAAAATGATGGGCGCTTTCCTACGCTATGAATCGCCGGTACGCCGAAATTAATTGCGAAGACGTTGAATAGAACAATATAAAAAGCACGCTTTTGCATAATCCGTGGCGAAAATCGATATGTTAAAGAAAAAAAATCTCATTTTTGAAAAGGGAAAATTAAGCACTTTTCAAAAACACCCAATGAAAAAAGCACCTTTAAGGGCTTTTAAATCATGTAAATTGAAAATAAGCATCTTTAAGCACTTTTTAAACATGCTACTCCCCATGTAATACTTACTTTATAATACATTATTTCAAACTTAACCTTCGATAAAATCAAATTTATTTTTTTTGTAAAAATTTTCAAGGTGTCACCTCTTTAGACGAAGCCAAGTTCCTTGAGTTTTTTTAAGTAAAATTTTTAAAATTTTGCAGATTTTTATGAATCAAAAATTAACATGGCTTTAATTCTGTTTTGAAAATTTCCTCAAATATTTATACCTTATTCAAATATTTGTAGATATTAAGAATATTACACAATACCCAAAAAGTTTTAGTGTAAAATTTTAATTTCACTACATACTTTAAAGTTCAATGACATTAAGAATAAATAAATAAGAATTAGAAATTTAAATTAAAAATGTTTTAATAATTTTACTTAAACTACTAATATTTTCTACGATTTCATATCTAATATGTTTAATATTTAAAGAAATAATGATTTTAATATTTTAAAAAATTGAATTTAAAATTCCAAAACTATGAATAAGTTTTACTAGTTAAAAATATTTATGAAAAATAAATGATTATGTAACTGGTGAAATTGGAACAACATATGATTCTGACATGCAATTTTGCTTTTCAAAAGATAAGAAATAAGAAGACACTATTTGAGTTATCTGTAGTAATAAACTATACATTTTACCAAAGTTTAAAACAAAATTTTACCATGTTTGTCATTACATCAATGTACAGTTTTTTTTATACTTTAACATAAGTAGGCAACAGCTTTAAGGAGAGAAAAAGAACTACATACCTATATAAAACTATTAAATTAGACCAAACAGATTTCAAAATAAATTGTTCTACGAAGCTCAAGCAAATTTCCTCTGAGTCCAAAGGGAGGAGCGATTTGTAAGCCAAATAAAATATGTCAGCAACACAGCTTATCGTGTACATAATTTCTGAAGAAATGGAGACTAAAGCTTTCTGGAGAGTTACTAAATTATGCTTGGCAATGCCAGTTTTTTCCGAATCTTTGCAAAAGACCAATTCATCTGGATAGTCTTCAACATGCAATAAATTTCCTTCACCATTTAAGTCTACACCTGTAAATATATTTAAAAGAAATAAATATTTTAATTTTTAAAAGAAATATAACTACTAGTTACAGTATTCTCTCAATATCTCAAACTTTTGTGAGGAGAAAGTTCCAAAGTTTGGACCCCTTAATGTTAATCTTACTTTTTGCGTTTTTCGCGAAATCTCATGAGTTTTTTAAACAAATTGAAAACTTTTTGCACAGAATTATAAAATTAATAATAAAATTTAAAATTAATAATAAAATTAAAAACATAAAATTTATAATTAATGAAAAAAAAACCTGAATAATTTTCGAACAGGTGATTGGAACTTCACATATGCCTTAATCTTAAAGGTTTAAAGGGCTAATTTGCTAATTAATTAGGAACACAATATTTTAAATTACAAAATTAGACATAAAAACGTATTTTCCGCGTATAAGTTAATCATCAAATTTTAAAATAGTTATTTCTTGAAACAACGATTTCTTAAGAACTATATAACCCATTTCATTCAAATTTTTTAATTTCTCATGTAAAATAACATTCTTTAAAATGATGCAAAAATTTTTATATTTTACAATTCAAAGTTTTTTCAACCACTATTAAATGAAATAAATGATAGATAATTATTTTAAATTAGTTTTTGATTGGAATTATCTTTGTTCAAACAAATTTTATAATAGAGTACAAAAATGTTCTTGATTCACTTAAGAAGATCTTGAGACATGGCAAAAATGCACTAAAAGTAAAATGAACATTAAGCGGCCCAACCCCTCTTTTGTCCAAACAATTAGACCCATATTTTCTAGAATTTGGCAACTCTCACAGTTTTAGGGTCAGAAAGCAGAACCCCTGAAAAAACACAAGTTCATCTAAAGAAAGAATAATTTTGTTTCAGACTTTGTAACTTAAAGTTTCGTCTGCTTCAAATTATTAGCATATAGGTGGTGTTTTCAGTATAAACAACAAAGTAAACATAAAAATGTAATGTAATAATAATGTAATGTGTAATATAATGTAATATATGAAAATATAAATGTAAACAACAACAAACTTGAGCTCTTGACTTGCTCTTCTTCCGGTTAGAAAGTACACAACTGCTTACTATGACTTATTCTGCGAGGCAATATTTTCAAACAGATAATTTTGTTTTTAATAAAAGAAACAAATAAATACAATTTCTCATCTCAAATCTGCTGTATATCATAAGATATTAATGATATGAACTAATTCTGGTGAGTTTGAAGTAAAAATTTATTTTAGTTATTTAAAGATACATTGTTAAACATGGTGATATGATTGCGAGATTTTGAAAGAGCTAGCTTTTTCGGCAGCTCCGATTTGGCCTCTTTTTACATGTTTATTACAGTTTGTTCTTGATGCAAGACATGAACCATCATACTTTACTGTTAGCACAGTGTTCAAGCAGCGAGATTAAGTTCATTCTACAAATTATCATCTAGTTATAAATTTTGAAGTTGGTACATTGTTAACAAGGTATTTTTCATATGGATTTTTTTTTTTTTTTCAAATGACAATTCTTACGTCTTGAAATGAAAGTTCTTCGTATGACGAGTCTTATAACGATTCTTCTTTTAAACACAAATAATAAATCAGTTACCATGTATACAACAACAATTTTAATCAAGAGAGTATCAAAACAGAATAATCACATTGTGAGCTAAAAGGCTTCAAAACACACCAAAAACAGTAACCAGGAAGTATAGGCAGTCAAGAGCTTGCAGCGCACTCTGGTGTAGAAAACACCATCGATTTAAAGTTAGACCCATGAACCATTAAGATCTAGGTTATACAGCCAAATCTTTCAACAAAAAATAAGCATCTTTTAAGTACTTTTTAAGCACTCAAAAATATTTTTAAGCACTATATACATTAACAAAATTCAAAATAATTTTCAAAGATAAAATAACTAGTTTCTGACAACAAATTCTTTTCTTGATTATATAAGCCGTTATAAAATGATCGAGATATTTTTTGGTTCGATATCAGAGGGTGGAAAATGAAGTCTGAATTTCAGAATATCTTGCAAAATGCAACAGAGTTACACATGAGAAGGCAATAATCCAGGGTTCGCCAAGTGGGCCCACTTTGAAAAAACCCGCTCGGGTTTTGTTAGGTGAGCCCACCTTGAAAAAACCCCACTAAGAACAATAAGTGGGTTTTTTGAACAAAAAATTATTTTTTTTACTAACACTTATTGATAAACATTTAGTTTAATATAATTCATTGTGAAGTATAAATTCGTCAAATACAGTTGCATGATTTATATGATTAAGTTTTTAATATTTGTAAAGTAAAAGAAACTCTAATCTATAATTTCATAATACTATTGAAAACTTTAAGTGGGTTTTTTCAAAAAGTAATATTTTAATGAAATTACATCAGATAGAAATTCAAAAAATATAGTCTGTAAAGATAAATTTTTCAAATATAGTTGCATGCTATATATGATTAATAAACAGGTTTATAATAAAGGAAGATGGAGACATCATTTTCCACCCATTATAGCACTAAACAGGTTTTTTCATGGAATATTTTTAATAAAAAAAATATTATAACACAGTAAATAATTTAAGATGCAGGCATAAATTTTAAAAATACAGTTGCATTGTTATACATGATATACAAATTTAAGCAGAAAACAAATTTTTATAGATATAAAGAGACACTGAAATCTTATAACTTTTTAGTATAATTGCTCTTTTTTCTTGCTTAAACTTAAACTTTAATCAGACTAAGATAGAACTTAAAATTAACTTCATTAAATATGAATAGTTTTTTTTTACTCAATTGCTACCAATGGATATCATTTTTAATTCACAAAAGCATTTTTAATAAAAATATTTTTTTAAGCATAAAAATATCTATTGTATAAGTAAAAGGACTGTCACTGACACACCCCTAAAAAGAAAAGTAACAAAATAAGGCAAAACAAAAATAGTATGAAAATATTTCTAGAAAGGGGGTTCCCCCATGCTTTACTTAAATCAAATTTGGTCATGTCTAGGCAGTTAAAGTATAGTTTTGGTTTTGATGCTGACATAGTGGTCTGCTTACAGTCCAAATCAAATATCTGATATTAGTGAGTCTTCTTTCATAGTGAATTTGAATATAGTTTAGGATTGTTTTTAAAGCTTTTTATTTTTAAAAAATGCCGAAAGCAATAGGAAGCGGAAGAAAATCTGCATGTGAATGGAATGAGACAATAAAAATTGATGGATATACAAAATGTCAATGCAAACATTGTAAATCATTTTTGAGCTGTAAAATTGAAAGAATCAAAGCTCATTTGCTAAAATGTGCAGCTAGAAAAACTAAGCAAAGAGAAAATGATAAATCCAACCAATCTGAAATTGCTTTAATGCAAGATTCCGTAACAAGTAGTGAAATTTCTTCAATAACTAGCTCAGTACCAAGCACTTCTTCTTGCAATACCTACCAAAGTAATATTTCTGATTTTCTTTGCCGAACAACAGCTGTGCAAAAGAAAGAACTGGAAAAAGCTGTATCAACTTTTCTTTATGCAGGAAATATACCTTTCAATGTTGCTGAACTTGATTATTTTAAGCAAATGATTGAAAAATTAAGGCCAGGCTATAAACCACCATCTGCTAAAGATATTAGAGGAAATCTTTTCAATGAGGCTGCAATGGAAGTCGATCAACAACTTATAGAAATGGTCCAAAACTGTAGTTTAACACTAGCATTTGACGGTTGGTCTAGTGTGAAAAATGATCCTACTCAAGCAGTTACCATTCATACAGGAACTAGCAGCCATCTTTTGAAAGTATATGATGCAGGCTCGGTAAAGAAGACATCTCATCAATGTGCATCAGTTGTGGAAGCTGCTATTAAAAAATGTCAAGAGAAATTAAACAGCACAGTATGTAGTAACCGATAATGAAAATAAAATGGGGAAGATGTGGGAAATTTTAAAAGAAACACATCCAAAACTTATAACCTATGGATGTTCTCACCCATCTTTTAAATTTGGTTGAAAAAGAAGTATCTCCTAATACTGTTATTGGACACATCGTGGAAGTTAACAAATATTATAGAAATGTGCATCAAGTACATGGATGGGCAAATGAAAAAAACTGCTTAATGCCCCAGTTACCAAATGATACTAGGTGGAGTTCACATTGTGACTGCGTAAAAACTTTTGTCAATAATTACCATAAATATCGTGAGATTGCTCTTGAACATCAGAATGAGTTCAATAAAAATGCATCAAAAATATTAAATAATGTTAGACTTTACCATGAAGATTTTAATTTGGAAACGCAGTTTCAATAGTCTCTGAAGCTTTAAATAAGCTTCAATCAGAAAATACCTCAATTTCAGAAGCTGTTGAAATATGGATAAACTTAATATCGTGTGAGGAATTAGAACCTCATAAGCATCATTTTGTTAAAAGATTTCATCAGGGTGATCAGCCACCTCATTTATTAGCTTATATTATGGATCCCAAAACGAGAGGACAACTTCTAAATCATGATCAAGAACAATTAGCAGAAGACTGGCTTTCTAAGCATCACCCAGAATTTCTGCCAGGTGTTATGGCATTCAAAATTTCTGATCCTGAGTACTTTCCAAAATCAATGATGTATTCAACAGTTTTCATCTCAAAAATGGTGGAAAATTATGGCAAAAAAAAAGTGGAAAAAAATTCCAAGCTTCCACAAAATTTCTGCAAATGCTTTTTTTCTTTACACTCAGCACCAGCATCCTCTGCCTCCATCGAAAGGCACTTTTCAACCTTCAGTTTGGTGTGGAGTAAACTACGAAACAGATTAGGAATAGATAAAGCTACAAAACTCGTGAAAGTGTATCACCATCTAAGAGAGAAATGTAGACACTTTGAATCTGCCTGTCTCAATAGG